AGACCAGGCTCCTGAAAAACATGTTCTGCTGCTTATTGTTGTTACCATTTTGTGTGTTACAAATTATTAAAATTTTAAACCAGTGCAAAAAATAAAAATAGACAAATTATCCCGTATTTTGTGTACAATGCAAATATTTCTACATAAAGAAGCAAGAGGTTTAGTTTTGTAAATGTTGTTCCTGAATTACTAATTGGTTTCCTTGAAATCAAAGCAACACATGGGACCCACTTTAATACAATCTAAAAATAGACACAATACTGTATTTCCTGCGATCCAAATGCACTGTCAAAACATCAGGAATTACAACATGTCATACGTCACTCATAAATGCACACATACAGGGGAAATCAACACTGTGCTTCCAAATCCCATTAACTGTGTGAGGTGAACTCATTCATTAGGTCATCTGAGGGTAAAATCAGCTGCATACTTATAAATAAATACAGAAATTATCACTTTGCAAGGAAGTTGTTGAAATTAAAACCTAGTGCATCTGACTACCAGAATAGTGTGAGAACGAGATTAAATATGTTAGCGAATATGACTCAGCTCAATTTAACAGAATCTCAATTTAGCTTAAGTGCCAACAATCTAATTGTGAAAACATTTTTTATCTTAAATTTCCTACATCTTACATTAGTGAAATTATACATTATATAAATTATACATTAAACAACACATTGGCTGAAAAGATCTGTTTTACAGTAATGAATGCTGAAACATTGCAAAATGAAATATATTTTGGTAGCTGTATAATTAACATATGCATAGAGATATTTACATTTTATTTTCCCTGGTTAAAAAAAATTGCATAATCATTTTATGGATTTTTGGAAAAATCTTTGTGAAATTCAGTTAAATAGGAGACATGCAAATCTATAGTTATTGATTGCAAACCAAAATAAATATATTGTTTATGGTTACCATGGTAATGAGAAATCCAGGATCTGGGCAGTTAATAATATATCTGAAAGTGCAGCTTTATTAAGTGGCTGGTAGATTGTAGCAAATTTAATAGTGCAATGCAGCATGGGTAATTTGATGATACTCAACTGTTTTGTTTACTTGTAGGTTATTTACAATGCCTGTGGAAACATACAGACCTTCAGGAAACCAACCTCTGCTTGTCAGGGGTACCATGGGAACCATCCCTGAACACAACCCACGTGGGGCGCTAGTTCCCGTCACAAAGCAGGACTTTGCAGGACATCGACCAGCGACGCAAGCTAGTGCACGATTCGGTCAGCTTAGTCAGAGTGCTTTCTTTGCGAGACATAATCCACATCCTGTTCGAGTCAGACATATCAAAGGTACAGTCACCAAAGTACTTTTTTCCACTCTTGATCTTCACTTTCTCACTATTACTCTTTACTCATTTCTTCTGTATTACTCTTGCCATCTTTACTAAATTTTGGTTTATTAAAATGTGTTTGTCATTTTATTCAACATTACTGTTGTGTATTTATAATACACACTCAGCTAAACAGATTTTGATTTTATGAATTTGTCAGCAAATACTCCTGAAAACATTCTTGAATTAACAATTCTGACGCATATATACAAGCCATAATTTGATTCGTCAACAAGGTCTGTCAACAAATAAGCTGCTCTCTGATTGGTCCGATCATTAGGTATTAGGGCTGGGTAGCCAATCAGACACAATCTGTAAGTAGCTTCACAAAAAAAAAAATATTTATTTATATCCATACACAAAACCCAAGAAAGATTTGACCAAATTCTTTAACTTCTTGCTATACCGTCATCCAATCATATGGCTTGTAACATCTGCAATGAATAAAGTTACCAAAGCCCTATTTGTAAGATTTTCTGTTATTGGCAGATAATAATTTTACCAAGCAATATTTTAGCAATCACTCAGAAAATAAAGCAAACAAATTACTAGAAATTAGATATGGGTATCTGGTTTAAACACACCAAAGTAAAATTCAATCTATCAATATATGCAAATGAAAGATTTAGACTCTCGGATGTCAAATCGAAAATTTGAATAAATAGTATGACAGTACAGTATTCAAATAAGATTTTTTTTTGCCCAAACGACACGATCAAAATAGAATGAAATGATAATTGTGTAATGAAATACAGTCAAATTACATAATATTCATAAATTCAGTGAATATAATTATGTATCGAAAAAACACACAATCTTGGATAATATGGTGATAAACTTCAACAAGGTGGATATTAAAATCTTTTAAAAAAACAATACAGGTACATACAATATACTGAAGCATGAAGTATTTAATATACTTAAAGGGTCAAAGGTCATGCAAGTAAATCTAGTGAATATTGACTGTATTAAGCAGGTCAAAGATTGAGGTGAATTGGTGTCTATCAACAGAATGAAATGAAATGAAATAAAGCAACATTTTATTATTAAATTTTGTTTTTTGTTTTGTTAAATAAACTATTTAAATAATTAAATAAATGTTCAAAACTGAAATAATTTTTCTTTGAAATTAATGACACAAAAATATGTGAATATAATTGGAATATATTATTAGATTAATGTATTTTATGACTTCAGCTTTTATCAATATTTGTATAAATAAAGCAGTTAGTGTACAACTGCAGGCACAATGACTTAATGAGGCGACTGAGAATGCGTAGAGTTCCTCTCACCTGTCACTCAGCAGTCTGGGTTATATAAATACAACAGATTACAGGTGTACCCCGGTCTGCTTGCATCACATACTAACATATGAAATAGAAAATACAACTTGTATGATGAAAATACCTATATTTTATACCATTTCGGTAAGATAACCCATTAACGCCCATGCATGTTCATCCATTTTAAAAATAATTGGTCGCGTCAATGTTTTGGTTTAACAGTTACAATTTTTTGTTAACTTTAGAAAATATACATAATTTCGCCTTTTTGTTCAGTCTCACTGCATTCTTCACACAAATTGTGATTTTTTTTATCAATCCACCTATGTGAGATGAATGAATACTGAAAAATAATTCTGAAATATTTAATCAAACCTTTGAAAGCCATAATCAACCTTTGTCTTGCCACCTTTCACAAGATAAATTTTACATATTTTTTACACAAGACTTATAGCAAGTGGTAAATTACGTGCACTTGATCCAAAATAATGAAACAAATTTCAATAATAAAAGAAAATACAAAAGAATGAAGTAAAATTGTGTCATTAAAATTAAAGGACAGTGGTTATCGTGCAGTGCATGTTTGAATATAGTGAAAACAAAAAAAAGTCTTTTCCACGTGTTGAATATATTGCTATGGAACCCTTATCACACATGATGGCCTGTGCTGATCACTCCCTTATAAGTTTTCTTATTGTCACTAGAGCCAGATTAAACAGACAGAGCTGAATCCTGTCTGATAAATTGAATAAAATGGACTGTTTAGCAAAAATATAATAATCCAAATAAATATCCTAAAGTATATAAAAAATACCAGAAATTATCATTCTAAAATTTGAACAGCAAAGTCATGATGGTCGTTGTAAAGATTATCATCAATAAGTTCAAACTACGCTAAAAGTATATTAATCTGGCAAGATATCAAAGTAATCTAGAGGGAAGAAAAAAACATGGTTGCCATAGCAATATATAATATTTTGACAAGATCAGAAACTGTATGTTATGAATGTATTATAATATGGTTGTCATGACAGCAAAAAAATATAATCATGAAAAGACACCATTGCAGGCAAGTACAGAATACAGAAAGCTGTGAATTCAACAACAAGTATATACTCTCTACATGCATGTCTAAACTGTTTTGTAATGTAGGTAGAATGCTTTTCTGGGGATGAATGATGTCATGGCGACCAGTTTGGTAATTTCAATCACCATGACATATTTTCGATTTGTTGCCATCTGTTTCGAACAACGATCTTTTCAGATTTGTCAGTCGGCTGAAAACGGCAATATAAAGTGTTAGAAGAGATGAAATGACATAGCCTGGCAGTTAAACTGAAACTGCAGGGTAAGCTGCGAAAGGTTAAGGAAAGTTATTAAATTAACAGGTTTACAAAGGTATGGATTGCAGGTTATCGCATTCAATGCCACACAAACGTTACACCCTGCGTCATGGACAGTTGGCGCTATGAGTGTCCATGCATTAAAGGGCAGCGGTCACAGTGCATCACGTTTTCAAATTTCAAATAAATAAACAATGTATTTGACATGCGTCGTATACGTTGCTATGGGACCCATATAAAACCCACTGCGCCACAACGATCACCTTTTAAAGTAAGGATATCGAGCTGCCTTTCCAAGGAGATTTCCATTCACATGCAACTAAGTACACCCTCTTAGGCTAATAGTCAATTGCTATATACAAATTCACCTAACATGATTTAGTTGAAAACTATATTGTATCATAATTCATTCCAAAAATTGGGAAAACATTTTAAAAACAGATTTAAATAAATCAAATATTTTATGCACTATATTTTGAAATAGAGCAAGTATGTGTGGGGTTGCCATAGCAATACTAAATCTTTATTTGCATATAATCATAAAAAGTCATATTATATAAATCATAGCTTCTTAAAGTTACAGCTCCTTGGAAGCAATTTTGTCTAAATTTAATATAAAGGGTAAAATTTATGCAGACATTGAGTTCCTATATTTTTTTGATTTCAAAACATTTTAGTGTTCTATTGAGTCATACCTAATAATTGTGAATATGCGATATTTAAAAAAACAAATGTCAGCAGTCATTCATCGCTTCCTCAGATACAAGAATAGAAAGGACACTTACCGGGAGTAATATCACACTTTAAAGAAAGAGATCTCGTTAATGTAAGAAATTGTGCGAGAAAAATTACTGTTTCACGAACAGTGTCAATGAAAGTACTCTATGGAAATAATACATCAATTTCACAGGCATGTGATTTTTCCTGATAATTTGAAGCACTCCCCCCCCCCCATGTACTGCATTTTAAAATAATTATTATCAATTTTGCACAACTATGAGTGAGTGAATTTACCATTTTTAAATAATTTGAAATTTTGATTAACATATCTGATATTAACTATATTTGTAAATCTGGACTATGTTGTGCAATGTGACAACATTTAACTTTGGCAGTAAACTGGTTAATGAGCCAGCAAGTCATATTAATACACTTGTTACTCAGCAACCAACATTTACGTCCATGTACAAGCTATAATGCACAAACTGCTGATACAATGTATATCTAAAACTGAAGGCAATTTTGTTCACTCAGTGTGGTAGATTTTATTTTTCATAATTTTTTTTGTAATTTTTCCTGGAGATATGCTTTTTTGGGGGTCAGCATCTGCCCCAACCCAATGAAATAAAACTCCCTCCCCAATACTAAGATTTCATAAAAAGCGAGTGATAACAGTTTCGTTTTTGTCTATCACGCAGTGTTCCATTCTCTCTTGTCATCATGACCACTATTTTCCTGATCTATGTTACCATGGAAATATTGAATGAGAGAATAGAAAAGAATGGAATACTATTTGAGTGTCAAAAACAAGTTGTGGCTCTCACTTAAAAAAGATCAATTATGAATTACCCAATATCTGTTGATGATAAAGTGGGAAATTAATCCTGTAAAGAATTTTTTTTTAAAAACTTTGAATGTGTATACATTTTCTAACAATGAAACAATTTCCAGATCCCACAGGTGAATTAAATCAAAGCAATTTGCTTAATTACTACAATCACTGTAACCGAGAAATACCGCAAGAGCAATTAATTTCCTCTCTCGTTATATCATGACCCGTCCTTGAAACGATCATAAAACTGATTGGTACATCATTTCCCTTTTACAACAAAAATCTCATCAAAAATGTGTTTTTATGTTCAAAACTGATAGCTCATAAAATGAATCATTTTAACTAAAAGGGTTCATCTCTGAGTTCTCATTTGTTATCACACGAGTCAAGGTGCAAAGAAGCATTTCTATATGTATATTCTCAACAGTTTGGTATACGAAAATAGAAATATTAGGGAGCCATGATGATATTTAAAAAAAAAAATAACTACATGTAACTAACTAACTAACTAACTAACTAACTAACTAACTAACTAACTAAACGCAGTCACCTGTGTATTGCTACCTATTTGTTATTGAATAAGTTATTATGAATGTACCCTGGTAATAGTTCCTGTCTTTGATCATGATGTGAATTAGGTGTAGACACTTTAAAATAAACAAGTGGCTGTCAGTCGGCCATTTTGAATTGAATTGTAAAACCTACAGTAATCTACACTGTGTGTGTGATCTTCACCAAGACTGATGTTGAATTGGGTTTGCAGGAACAAAATGGCCACCAGTTGTCCATAATGGAGTGCATCAAAAAACAAATTGACGTGCAAATTTCAAATACAAACCCAACGTTTTGCTTTTTTTGCCAACTCGGAATAAAATTGGGTAAAGCATAAAGGACAAATGACATTGCC